GATGCAGGGGACACGGGTTCGTGCCCCCGTCCGGGAACATCCCACATGCCGCGGAGCGGCTGGGCTGGTGAGCCATGGCCGCTGAGCCTGCGCGTCCGGAGCCTGTGCTCCGCAACGGGAGAGGCCACAACAGTGAGAGGCCCGCGTACCGCAAAAAAAAACCCCCAAAACCCCCAAAAAAACCCTACATTTAACTATAGATGATAAGCAGATAATGGGGTGGGGCGGGTTTGAAGTATTCCACGTGATATTTTAGGAAGGATACCTGTCACTATGCATTTGTCTAAGCCCATAGATGTGTATAGCCCAAGGGTTCAATCATAATCTACTCAAATTTAGTTATTTAGGATGTAGGAGTGCTGCAGGATGGAATACACAATGCGACAGAATCCAACTATATTAGAAATGTATGGAAGGTGCTGACCTAAGTTAACTTTGGAAATGAATGGAATCTGTAGACTAAAGGCAAAATGGACCATACATAAACAGTGGGCTTTATTTTATGGAGTTCTTTCCGGGGGGTCGTCATTAACAATTCTGAAACCTCTGCACATAGATAAATGGCACATGGTGGGCGCCAGGCTCCTGGTTTTGGTGAGGCTGGAGATAGATGGGCTCCAGGTTAGGCACTTACAACTGGCCTCCTGTTTACATTTCTTGGAGCAGAAAAAAGTGGGCTTCAGGCCGGACGCTTACCACTAGCCTCCTGTTTGCATTTCCTGAGACAGGAGGTAGGTGGGCTCCAGGTTAGGCATTTACAGTCAGCCTCCTGTTTGCTCTCCAAAATGAAGTAACAACAGACACAGGGTAAATAGTCAAGCTTTGTCTCCTGAGGACATTTTAAGACAGCAGTCATGGCATGCGTCCATCTTGGCTGAGAGATGCCTTCGCACCTAGGGGGCGAAGGAACGTGTAGACATTCCTACCCTAAGAAAAGGTCCCACCTTGCCCCCAGCTGGATTCCACCTCAAAGAACGGGGTCAGGGGCTTCCGTGGTGGCTCAGTGGTTAAGAACCCGCCTGCCAATGCAGGGGACACAAGTTCGAGCCCTGGTCGGGGAAGATCCCACATGCCACGGAGCAACTAAGCCCGTGCGCCACAACTACTGAGCCTGCACTCTAGAGCCCGCGAGCCACAACCACTGAGCCCGTGAGCCGCAACTACTGAAGCCCACGCACCTAGAGCTCACGCTCCACGACAAGAGAAGCCACCCCAATGAGAAGCCCATGCACCGCAACGAAGAGTAGCCCCTGCTCACCGCAACTAGAGAAAGCCCACGTGCAGCAACGAAGACCCAACACAGCCAAAAAATAAATAAATTAATTAATTAATTTTAAAAATGGGGTTCACTTTACCCCTCCTAACCATAAACTTGGCAACAGTTTGTAATAAAATGAAAGGAACTCAGAGGCACCCGGGCATGACCTTGAGCTCACCTGTGCTTCAGTTCAGCCACCTCGCTCGTTAACAGGGACAGGGCTGCGAATGGCAGGGCCACAGAGCTGTGTCTGTTCAAGTTAGGGTCACCTGAATGACCCGTGTGGAAGGCTGAAGTCTGACCCACAGACCACAGAGCAAGTGTGTTTCGTGAGCATTTAGATTCTAAGACAACATCACATTTCCCACCAGGACTTTGGAACCTTGGTCTTCAATGATAGGCTCCTTCTGTTCTCCCCTCCCATTCATTTTGCAAAACTCACTGACTGCCTTCCCAGCCGTTACTTGCAACCTGGAGTCCTGCAGGTTGGGTCTCTGTCCCTGAGAGCCAGGCTGGCCTTGGGAACCTCTGCTCAGGGGCAAGGTCTTGAGGATGTGAGGGCAGCCCCCTGCAGGCTGGGCTCCCACTCTGCGGAAAGTGAACGGGCACCAGGCGGGTCAGGAGGGTGAGAGGCTGGTCCAGATGATGCCACGGTGCTCGGGCAAGTCTTTCCGAATTTCAGTTTCCCCATCTCTAAAAATCAATGACTGGGCAACGGCAACCTTAAAGGACTTTCCAGCTTGAAAATATGGTCCTTCTCTAACACTGAGACATGTGGTTTCCCCAAGTTCCTAAGCTTTGTTTTCTCCATAAAAACGACGTGTGAAGTACTTGCAGGAACATTAAGGTACAAGCCTTCAGGGGCCACGTAACCTTTAAACTCCACACAGATCATATTTTAAAATCTTCTCGCTAAAACTTTTCTTATGTGAAGTGAGCCTCAGTTTTTGTGATGCAAGTAGAGCACTGAGGCCTCATCTGTCTTGAGGTCTTTCTTAGCAGCCTGATAGCACTCCCTCCTCCATCAGCTTCAGCAACAGCTAGGGAGTATAACCAGGCTGACGGGGTTTCCTCAACATCTCCAACAAGGGACCAAGTGGACCAATACTCAGGGGGAAGGACAGCCAGGACACCAAAGTGTCTATTTGCTAGCTGCTCCTTCTAAAGACCAACACTATGCCCTGGAGCAGTGCCAGCAATTAACCTGGCCCCCACTGGCCAGAGACTAAGACGGAAATTACAGAGAACATAGAAAAGCCAGAGGTTTACAAAGATAGAACAAGGGGCTTCCCTGGTGGCGCAGTGGTTAAGAGTCCACCTGCCAATGCAGGGGACGCGGGTTCGTGCCCTGGTCCGGGAAGATCCCACATGCCGCAGAGCAAGTAAGCCTGTGCTCCACAACTACTGAGCCCACATGCCACAACTACTGAAGCCTGCGCACCTAGAGCCCACGCTCCACAACAAGAGAAGCCACCGCGATGAGAAGCCCCTGCTCGCCGCAACTAGAGAAACCCCACGCGCAGCAACGAAGACCCAACACAGCCAAAAATAAATAAATAACATTATATTGAAAAAAACCAAAACCAAAGATAGAACAGGCTTCCCTAGGAGGCATGTAAGTTCTCTGTCCTCAGAGGTGTTTAAGCCCAGGCTGCTCAAACCCCGGGTGGCAGGTTGAGGGCAGAATGTCTGGACCAGGTGGCTAAAAGGCCCCTTCTCAACTGTTGCATCTTGTCATTGTAATGCCTGAGAGCCTTCAGGTGATTTCCATGCAGCAACAACTCTGGGATCCACGGTCGGGCCCCTGAGTTAGTTCCCTCCCCTACTTCCTCCTTTCTAACAGGCAGGTGCCCTGCAAGAAAGCAGCAAAAATTCCCACAAAATAAACAGCTGAAATGCCAAGGTTAGATGCAGCGTTCTAACTGCAAACAATTATTAACATCTGCTCCCTGGAAGACTCCCTGTGCCTATTTAGCGGAGTCAGGAACATCTAACAACTTGGCAGCTGTACCACATAAGTGAAATTCCTCTTCCTTTTACACCACTGGTCTTGAATCCCTTGGCTGCAATCTTTCAAGGGGTTCAGCTATGATCTTTCTCACGTGCTGTTGCCAACCTAAGAGTTTGTTCATTGAAATAAGAAGTCTGTCCGTTTGTTTTTTTAAAAAAACCTTAAAACGAAGCCACACGAATGGCAAGATGTGACACCCTTCAGGGCGAATGAAAGAAACACAGCAGGCCGGAACCGAGGCAGGAGCCGTACTCTCTAAGAAGACAACGCCAGTTCTGGACGGCACATGCCAGTTTTGCCCAGAAGCACCAAGCGGAGAGAAGGCAGTGTTGCAACCTTACAGGTGGAGACAAGCACAAGTCCTTGACAGGTGTTTTAAAAATGCAGACAGCCACGGTGAGGGCTGCTTTCCCCAAGCACCACTGCTCCCCAAAGCCAGACCGGGTTGCTTTAGAGGGTCGGCCACCTCTAAGAGGCAGAAGCCTCCTGCCCCAGATCCAGCTGTGGGAAACTGCAGAAGAGGCTAAGGCACGTGGCTTAGTGGTCTGATGAAAGAACAGATTTCTGCACCCAAGAAAAACATGAGTTCAGAAAGCTCTGTCTCTCCTCTCACCTGACATGCTTTCAGAGGTTGAAAAGACACACACAACCTCCGCTTTCCAAAGGACCTCTCCTTAGAGGAAAAACAGCATGGGACTGCGTGCGCACAGCATCTGGCTGAGGGTGAAAAGCGTCCCAGGCTTCCCGTGGGAATGAAAGCGCTCTTCCAGACACACCTGAACAGATAGAGCCTAACACCACAGCTTCTTGTCCAGAGTCTCTCAACTGGGAACACAGATCTGCTGTTGAAGAGACGGTGACGTGACCTACACATCCACAACTGTGGCTCAAACATCTGACGGCTACATTTTTTTTTCCCTCAATAGTATGTGGATATTTCCAGGGAGCAGGTTACCAATGCCTTAACCCCATCTGCCCCCAAACTCCAGCCTGATAACAAAACACTCCCCTTGACAAAGGGGGTTTGGTGTTTGATTCCTTCAAACCCTTTCTAAACTCAGCTTCTTAGGAAAAACCTCCATAAGCCACATACTTTAGAGCCTTCTTGGCGCCTAAACATCAACAGCCTTCAGCTGTGGGCAGTGAGACGCTCTCTGAATACGCACTCAATCTGCACGACTGCAAACACAGAGAGCACCCCGACGTGCCAACCACGGTCAGGTGTATGAAAATACGACCCCCTCAGAGTCTAGAGGATGCTCTCTGTACATTCAATTATGCATATTTTAAAAGGCTGCAATCTGCTAGACATGCATCGTGAGCACTGGTGAAAGCGTGGCTGCCACGGACACACCACGTTTTATTTAGTGAGAGTGGCGTCCTTGTCCACGGAAAGCATGCTCCATGGAACCGAGAACTTTGGCCCCTCCGCCTCCCCGCTTGCGGGGGGTCTGTTCTGACTTCTCTGGGTGTCTGCTCAGGTGAATCCATCCGTGAGACACTAAAACGCTCCACCAGGCCAGGCTGTCCACTGCTGCTTTTATTCTTTGAGGCTTAAGAAAGAACTCAGAATTAAAACTGAGTAAGAAGGTGATACCTTTGAACACAATATATGTCAAGATGGTCAGAAATTAGAATTCAAGTCCTTTCTTCTCTTTCCTTCCTACTCCCTGTTCACACTCTCTGCTCCCCCAACACACTGACTAGAAAATGTTGCAAAAGCTTGCTTTTGGATATAAAGCTTTATTTTCAAAGGATACTTTGGTTCTGATAGAATTAGATATACGGATCTGAGTTTTTGAACATAAAGAAAAAATCAGGTAATTGTTAATAGTTAAAAAAGTTGTGTTAGCAATCGTTCCCCCTGAAAGACAGGCAAGGTGCTCACAAGAACGAGCATCAGATGGTACTGGCCTGTGTTGCTCAAAGCCGTGCTTCGTTGCCGACCCCCCAGTGCAGAAGGTCAAGGCTGGTCAGAACTTCCACCCCAGGGCTGGACTCGGGGGCAGGAACCACACGGTCCTTGGCGGCTTTCTTGTGGCTCTCAATTAAGGATTAGTACTTCTGAAAACATGAGCCCCAAACCACTACGTACATCCATCTGTCAAAGCATTTCTGGCCCAGGAGAACGGCTGACGTCGTAACACGTAACTCTGCCCGCAGAATGAAGCGTGGATGGGAGGACCAGGGGCCGCGGCTCCCGGGAGGGGCTCTGCATGTGTGGTTCTGGACCCTCCACAATACGGCTGGGCGCATTGGACTGCCTCAAACCTCGCCTGACCTGAAACCTCCTGTTGGTGCATCCGGGTTTCCTCTACTACGTGTGCTGAGCAACAGAAACGGCAGGGGTCTCGGCGCCTGGAGCTGGGGACCAGATGTGACAAGTCTGGCACTGTAGTGACAGCTCGATCAGCCAGCAGATGCCGCCTGAGTGCCTACTGTGTGCCAGGCACAGGGCCGGCGAGGGACCCGCGTCAAAAGGACTTGCTGACAAGCGACAAAGCTGGCAGCAAAGCGGGGGTCTGTGTCCCCAGCAGACGGGTCTGCTCACGCAGGTCCGCCTCCAGCCGCAGGCTGCTGGTGCAGGGCTACCCCTCGCGTGAGGCAGCGTGGGATCACAGTGACTGCCAAGATTGCTGTCACCCACATTTGCAGGAGAACTGACTTCATGCTTCGCTGATGAGGCCATACATTGTTTTCCTTTCATTCTTTTTCTGATCATGCTTTTTCTTTCCTTTTTTTTTTTTTTTAGTCCAGCAGTTGGCTTAAAAGTCTGCATGTAAACATGCTGCATCAGGAGGATGTAATCCTCCTGACCTCAAAGATTTACCGTATTCATCAAGCTTTTTATTTACAGTAAAACTGAACAGCCTTCACGGGCTTAAGTGCAGCCGACATCACTGTGCATTAAGCACTGCACTTACCCATTGAAGACGTGCTCCAGCCTCACTGGAGCCGCTTGCCGCCCCTCATTTCTGGTCCGGTTTGTGCGCTGTGGTCGCTCTTCACCGGGTAGAAAAGTAAGGAGGGTCTCGTTTTCACTCGCAGGTCTGTGCCTGAAGCCTTGGCTGATGGTTTCTGCTCACTGGGGCTTACTGAAGCCTGGCCTGCTCTGCAGTTTGTAGTGTCCTCCGTAACGTCGGACAGCGTTCACCTGAGGCTCCTGTCCACGTGCAGCTGGACCTTCTTCTGCGAGATGCTCTTCTGGACCCTCTTGCTGAAAGATGTGATGCCCATGGGCCGGGGCAGCAGCGGGGCGGGCCTTGAACCGGCAGCAACCAGCCCACGGGACCCGGCAGCCCCTGGCTGCATCCCGAGCCCCTCAGCCCCGGGGCTGCCCTCCCCACACTCCCCAGCGTGTTCTGATCGTGGTCTTTTATAACCAGATGTCCAGTTTTCCCAGCACTACTTACTGAAGAGACTGTCTTTTGTCCCCACTGTGTATTCTTTTTACGTTTCATTCTGCACTTTTAGGGAAAGATGGGCTCCTAGCTGTTAGCCTAGCCCAGCTTCGCTGAAAACCTGTCAGTAGCCCAAATTAATGTTAGTATTTCACTAATTTTAATGCATTTTCACATAATGAAACTTATTACAAAAATTTATTCTCATTACATACACCTTTTGGTGGGTGTTTGTGGTTCTTGTATGATGAACGTATTTCCTCACTACTATTCAACTTCCGACAGATGATAACATGGTATAAGTAATTATCATGCAGGGAACAGAAAACTACACAGAACTATAAGGGAAAGTAGGGGCCATGATTAGTCAAAGCTTTCGGGGAAATGAATTTACCCAGGATTTACTTGATCCTCGAGCACTAGGCTAAAATTTAACAAACAGCTGTTGCATAGTTTGGCCCCATGAAATCTTTTTACTGTTTCATTTCAAAGTAGATAAAGTAGTAAGAAAAGTACCAGCAAATAAAACACTATGTGGTAAACACAAAATTAAAGGGCTATTGGGAAAGACGGATCAGCTTGTCTTTTTATCACAGAAAATAATTTATTGTGTTAACAGCATTTTCACTGCTATGACAACATCTGAACAAGCTTGAAACCCTTTAAAGATTGACCTTAATACAGCAACATTATAGGAGACAAAATTTACGTTTATTTCTTTTTTTAAAATAAAGATAGCAAAATGTGAAATTTTAATGCTACATTCCTTAATACCAATAAAAAATGTTCAACTCAAGTTTAAATACTTTTGATCTTATTAATATAAAATACTGAATTCTACATTTTAAACACTATTAAAGACTCAGTCATCTCTTCATACTGCCAGCGTGCTTCCAATACTTCCACAGTATCTTAAATAAATATATCTCAAAAAAAATCTTGAATTCTGAAAAATAAGCAGGAAAAACCATCAATTGATGTACTGTGCCGTTCTAACGGGGGTGAGGTGGTCTTTGAATCCCCTAGTGATTAGTGAAGCTGAGCATCTTTAACTTGTTGGACACTTATATGTCTTTGGAGAAATGTCTATTCAAGTCCTTTGCCCATTTTCTAATCAGGTTGTTTTTGTTCAGTGTTAGGAGTTTCCTATGTCATAGGCATTAGGCCCTTATAGATATGATTTTCTCCATAGTTTATTCATATGCTCCCTACTGGACATTTATGTCCAGAGGAATTGCTGGATCAAAAGGTATACGTGGGCTTCCCTGGTGGCGCAGTGGTTGAGAGTCTGCCTGCCGATGCAGGGGACATGGGTTCGTGCCCCGGTCCGGGAAGATCCCACATGCCGCGGAGCGGCTGGGCCCGTGAGCCATGGCCGCTGAGCCTGAGCGTCCGGAGCCTGTGCTCCGCAACGGGAGAGCCCACAACAGTGAGAGGCCCGTGTACCGGAAAAAAAAAAAAAAAAAAAAAAAGGTATATGTATTTACAATTGATACATTACTACCTGATTGCTCAGAAGAGGTTATACCAATTTACACCTACACCAATTCTATTGTATTCCATTATACTCTTACGACTGTACAACTTAAAAGTTTTTTTCTCATCTCTGAATTAATACTTCTAAGATATATATATATATATATATTTTAAACATCTTTATTGGAGTATAATTGCTTTACAATGGTGTGTTCGTTTCTGCTTTATAACAAAGTGAATCAGTTCTAAGATATATTAACTAGAATTTAGGTAACAGATAAAGAATAAGATCTCATTTATTGTGTTAGTGACTCTTAGAGATAATGCTGATTGTAATAAACACACTAACAAAGCCTAGTTAAGGAAACCAGGTGTTTGAAAGTTCATGTGTTATTCAAATTTTACCTCTTTTAAGTAGGCTGGTACCACTTTTCAATATAGACGTTAATAATAAAACATCTTGGGTTTTCCTTGGGGTCTTTCCCATTTATTTTCCATTTCTTTTTTCAGTTTATTTGCTTTATATCTCTCAGCCATCACCACAAGATCCTCTGGGACACTCTGAAGCCATTAAACGTGTTATTAGAATTGAGGTGATTCTCATTATATAACAGCTTTTCTACAATCTTCAGAGAATCTCCACAACTGATTACGTGACATCATCCAAACAGAATGGAATGTGTCCCTCTGCATATGCAACACCGAAATCTTCAAGGTATAAAAACCAGCCTAGTCTTAAAAAACCCCGTCAGTAAGTACGTGGCCCTCCTGCTAGCGTGGCCTTTCAGTTGCTTCCTGGTGCCTTTGCCTGGTGTCACTTTCTCACCTCGAGGCCTGAGTGTGTCCTCTGCTTCCTCTGTTCTCTGCAACCTCCACCCCACTGGGCTCTTCCTCAGCAGGGTTCAGTGACGCTCACCATTAGATCAGGTTCCCCACTTATATATTATAGTGCTCATCTTTGCCATGCTACAGCCCTCATAACACGCTTAATTGCTTGTTTAATATCTGTATTTCCTGACAGGCAGTAAAGCCCCAGTACTTGGCATAAATGAAATTTGAACCTTAGAAAACAGAGCTGCATCTTCTCACCTGGTTTGCTCTTTCCAGAATATTAATTAATTCACCAGCAATCTTCCAATCATTTCTAGTGATGAGGGTAACACATACCCCGGTCCTCCTTCAAGGGGGAAAAAAGTCAGTTTAATTTGATTTGTAATCTATATTCATGATTCAGCTAGCAAAACAGAACAAAAACAGCAGCAGCAAAACCTCAACTCTTTCACAAGCCCAACTACGTATGATACGTTACGATTTAGCCATTCAGGGACTTCTCTGGTGGCGCAGTGGTTAAGAATCCGCCTGCCAATGCAGGGGACACAGGTTCGAGCCCTGGTCCGGGAAGATCCCACATGCCGCGGAGCAACGAAGCCCATGCGCCACAACTACTAAGCCTGTGCTCTGGAGCCTGTGAGCCACAGCTAGTGAGACCGCATGCCACAGCTACTGAGCCCGCGCGCCTAGAGCCTGTGCTCCGCAACAAGAGAAGCCCCCGCAATGAGAAGCCCGCGCACCACAACGAAGAGTAGCCCCTGCTCGCCACAACTAGAGAAAGCCTGCACGCAGCAACGAAGACCCAACGCAGCCAAAAAATTAATTAATTAATTAATTAAAAGATTTAGCCATTCATATAAGGAAGATGTGGTACATATACACAGTGGAATACTACTCAGCCATAAAAAAGAACAAAATAATGCTGTTTGTAGCAACATGGATGCCACCAGAGATTATCATACTAAGTGAAGTAAGCCAGACAGAGAAAGACAAATATCATATGATATCATTTATATGTGGAATCTAAACTATGACACAAGGGACTTCCCTGGCGGTCCAGTGGTTAAGACTTTGCCTTCCAATACAGGGGGTGAGGGTTCCATCCCTGGTTGGGGAGCTAAGATCCCACATGCCTCATGGCCAAAAAACCAAAACAGAAGCAATACTGTAACAAATTCAATAAAGACTTTAAAAATGGTCCACATCAAAAAAAAAAAATCTAAAAAATAAAAAATAAATAAAATATGACACAAATGAACCTATCTATGGAACAGAAACAGAATCACGGACATAGAGAACAGGCCTGTGGTTGCCAACGGGGAAGGGGTTGGGGGAGGGATGGAGTAGGAAGTTGGGGTGAGCAGATGTAAACTTTTATATATAGAATGGAAAGACAACAAGGTCCTCCTGTATAGCACAGGGAACTATATTCAACATCCTTTGATAAACCATAATGGGAAAGAATATTAAAAAAATAGAATGTATACATATATGTATATATATATATGTATAACTGAATCACTTTGCTGTACAGCAGTAATTAACACAACACTGTAAATCAACTATACTTCGATTAAAAAAAAAAGATTTAGCCATTCAAACAGCAATTTGGAACCTAATCTGCAGTTGTTTAAACAGCATGTTATGGGGATTTTATGATAGTGCTCTCAGAGGGGAAAAAGGTCCTTTTTGTGAAGAGAATGGGGAGCCAGGCTGGATGGACCGACTTACCCTGCTCTCCCGGTGCGCCCTACTCTGTGCACATATTCTTCGATGTTCCGGGGAAAATCGTAATTATAGACGTGTGTGACATCATGGACATCGAGACCACGAGATGCTAAATCGGTAGCAATCAGTATTCGCACTTCCCCTAAAGAGTAAAGCCAAAAGAATACAGACACATGCTGGTACAAATGAACCCAAGACATATCTGTCCCCTAATCTGATCAGGTGAACTATCCTTGCTTTTAATATTAAAACTCTTTTAAGGACAGTGAAGACGGGAAAGGGTTACTTAGCCTTTTTTAACTGCTGGCAAGTTACAACACAATAGATTCCAAAATTCAAAGGGTCCATGAACCATGGCAGAGATATATGCCTCGCAAGTAAATTAAGATAACACCCTCACTGCAAATTACTGCCTTGATATCCAGGTTTTAAACATTAGCTTGAGATAGTTCTGAGAATCTGATGAATATTTAGAACAAGTATAGTTCTGGGATCTGCAAGCTGAGGGCAGATCTTAGACATGGGTTCCATGAAAAGGTGCCAACACTCAAGTAAGTCCAGGCACTGGACACTTTTTTTTTTGTTTTGTGGTACGCGGGCCTCTCACTGCTGTGGCCTCTCCCGTTGCGGAGCACAGGCTCCGGACGCGCAGGCTCAGCGGCCATGGCTCACGGGCCCAGCCGCTCCGCGGCATGTGGGATCTTCCCGGACCGGGGCACGAACCCGTGTCCCCTGCATCGGCAGGCGGGCTCTCAACCACTGTGCCACCAGGGAAGCCCCAGGCACTAGACAGTTTTAAACTGCAATACTAATTGTATAAATGTACCTGTTCTAAAGTTTTTTAGTGCTCTCTCTCGATCACTCTGTTCTCTGTTGCCATGCAGAGACTCTACTGATATATGCCGGATACTCAGGTCACTTGCTAAATGATCAGCCCTGAAGCAAAAGATAAAGTCAGGGGTCTAAGTGCTTATTCTCATACCACCATCAATTCATTACTGTTACTTCCACTGGCAAGAGTCTGAAGTAATGTGCATATTGTAAGACATACACACACCCCATATGAAATGCGTATACACATAGAAACAATGCCAAAACAAACCATGACTGATGATTTGAATGTAAAAAAAACATACTCACACAGCTTTCCGGCTGACAAATATTATGACTTTGTCTTTGGGAGACAGGCTCTCGATGAAAGTTTGGATATGCGATTGTTTCTCGTCTTCTGTGGTGACAATTATATTTTGTTTCACGGTACTTACAGCCTAAAGGACTCAGAGATCATAGTTCATCAATATTAATGGGCAAACCCCATATATTGGCTCGAAATCCATCTTATTTCTATCATTGGTTAAATGTTCTAATAAACTGCTAGCCGGAAAAATGGCAGGTCCTTGCAAAATCACCCATTCCTACCCAAGGATTTATGGCTCAGTCTTTCACTTTTTACCAGTGAGTCACCTATGCTAAGCTGGGAACTCTTGAATACGTGGTAGTGCGTTGAAAGCAGCTGGTTACTATTGTTGAAAAAGGAATAACCACAGTTTGAGGCCAAGCTTACAAAACTATCACCATGAATTTGGATATAGCCTTTGCAATAAAGATGTTCAGCTGATGACACAAAGAGTTTCTGTTCAATAAGTATTTTGACAACACAAAATTTCAAAGTATCGCTGGTACCATTTTATTGACCCAGAGATGAAATAGATTCTGAAGCATTTATCCTGTCTTTTGTGAAATCTCATGAAATGAGCCTAGGGCAATGACCCATTATTAATTACCAGTGATTTAAGTAAAACGTCTATTTTCATTAATGATTAGTTGAAAGGCCAATCTCAATTATGAAGTGAAAGGCCAGAGAGCTTTCAATGGCAAAACATTTCCATAATTAATAAGATATAAATAGTAATTAAAAACAAGCTTACAACTAGATCCAAAGTACCAACATACACAATCATGGGCTCTTTCAAATAAGATTGTGCGAGTCTACGGACAGCACATGGCCACGTTGCACTGGAGATAAAACGTAATACACAAACATTAAACATTTATTATAAAGCAAACATTACTAAATTTCCCTAAGAATGCTATGAACAAAATTACTCATGAAAGACAAACTTAGTACTTTTTAATGAGGCCAATTTCACAGAAAACATTTGCTTCACAATGAATTGCTCAACGAAGCTACTAGATTAAACCTTTAAATAAGTTTAATAGGTTTGTAAGCAAAAGGTGAAGAAGAGCTATACCTTTCTAATCTATGAAAAGGTACAATGAATTCAGGTGTTAGTTTTCTCTCGGCCTTTATAAATAAGGCAAAAAACCCCAGTATTTTTCATGCATTGTTAGCAGGCAAAACCAAATGTTCATGCCAAATAAAAACATTTTAACTGTACCGATGATTGGATATGTAAATTCAGTTGTTTCTTCAACCATATATTATGAAAGTAGCCACCTTCTGTACTTTCACACTAATTACAAAGATGGGAAGTTTAGTAAGAAAACAAAATGAATAAATCTAGTCTACTTCCCCAATCACATACTCTTCCGCTGCCTCAGCTTTATCTTTGCCAAAAAGTATTCTGGACAGGTGATTACTTTTTCCAATCTGAGACCCCACCCCCCGTGAAACAGTCTCCCCTGCATTTTTTTATAGAAATCTTATTCTTTTTCAAACATTTATTTATTTACTTAGGCTGTGTCAGGTCTTAGTTGCAGCACGTGGGATCTTCGTTGCGGCATGTGGAATCTAGTTCTCTGACTAGGGATCGAACCCGGGCCCCCTGCATTGGGAATGTGGAGTCTTAACTGCTATACCACCAGGGAAGTCCCTAGAAATCTTATTTTTAATTCAGGAAACCCAATAGTCATTGCTAAACTGTTACACTGAGTTGCTATACTAAGTGATGACATATCTTTCACCAAAGGATCTCAAAATACTTTTAAGAAAGGCTCTAAAATCAAATGGATTTGGTTCCACTGATTTCTACTTTGCAGACTAGCAAATTAAACATATACCTACCTTGTCATAACTGTCTGCCTGTCTGGGCGTACATCTAATAAAATCTTCATTATCTGGGGTTCAAATCCCATATCCAGCATCTTGTCAGCTTCATCTAATACCTGCATTAAAAATGATTAGATTAGGGGAATTCCCTGGTGGTCCAGTGGTTAGGACTCCGCGCTTTCACTGCTGAGGGCCCAGGTTCCATCCCTGGTCAGGGAACTAAGATCCCGCGAGCCGTGCAGTACGGCCAAAAAAAAAAAAAGATGGCTAGATTAGGTATGGAAGGTAGCTAATATATATGCTCTGCCTTTATGAATACTAAGGTAATTTTTTCACTTCCTCCATTACCTAAGCTATCTGTAGTTGCAACACAGACCGAGTTAAGTTTGCCAACTAACAGTTTCTTAATCTATTTAATGAAAAAAAAAATTTAAGTGTCTAAAATATTCATGTGGAATTCTTTTGTACTTACCTACATTTTCTAATATTTATATAATACTAACATGGAATGATCTTAAAATCTGTATTTTAACAAACTAGAGGGAATGAGAAACATTCCTAGGATTTAAAACCATTATGAAATGGAGAGCCATTCTAAAGGGTTTGATAAAGAGTTCACTTCTTCCTCCCAGGACCCTGAACCCCTGCTCCACGATTACCAGGTAAGTTACGCTCTTCAGGTGCACAAAGTTATTCATTTGTAGATCGTGGAGTCTTCCGGGAGTGGCAATAATGATATCGACACCTTTCGCTAAGTCTTTTATTTGTCCATCTCTATCGCCACCACCATATATACAAACACTTAAAAAAAAAATACGGAGGTTCATGTTCACGTGGGGACTATCCCATCACAATTCAAAATCCCAACCAACCTAAGCATTTGGGGTATAAAATAAAAAGCACATCAATCAGAAGTCTCGGGTAGTACAGTATTGGCCCCTTTCTGAGAACCATCCACACCCACCAATCCACAGGGACGTGTCCTGTGAGAGCCACATTCGCATCCTTGTTATCTGACCCCACCACCCAGGTTACAGTCGATGTGGATCAGGGGTAAGTAAGCCTGACCCACGCTGAGCCAATCAGCTTCTCAGGATGTGTGAAAATAATGGGGAGGATGTCGACAGCTACAAATGGTTAGAAGGCTGATGCAGGAATGGTCAAAGAAAAGACTCACCTTTTAAGACCTTTATATGAATATTTACGGCACTCGGCTTCCACTTGCAGAGCTAGTTCTCGAGTCGGGGTGAGGATTAACATGCCCGGCCCATTCCTGGCTCTTTGGAGAGAAAACGCGTTAGTAAAGTAGCCATCTCAGATACACAGGACCTTCATTCAGTGCCTGCAATGAGGGAATTGCCTGGCGGTCCACTGATTAGGACTCCGAGCTTTCATCTGCTGAGGGCCTGGGTTCAATCCCTGGTCAGGGAACTAAGATCCCATAAGCCTCGAGGTACGGCCAAAAAAAAAAAAAAAAAAAGGCAGCAATGAGTGTCAAAGCCACAAACAAGCACCACACATAAAAAGTGGAGAAATAAAGAAAAACAGCCTAACAAAAAAATCCTAGGGTCCAGACACCAGCCTTTTCATTAAACAGGGCCAGAGCTTTCCTGTGTCAGATATTCTCACAGAATTGTACTGGACACGGTGATTTAAACAATTTGTTTCCAGTGTTTCACTGTTAAGACTTCTGGTGGATACTACCTATTGCTTCCTAAAAATGTTCTGTCCATTTATAGCTTACCAGGACAACAAAAGTGCATTCGCCCGAGACTAGGCGTTACCTTTCGACCAAGGCAATCGAAGAAACTTTCATTGCATTTTTGGAATCCATATCTGTTAAACCCCTAAAGGGAACCCAGATGTAATCATTCTTACAGAGGTTGTGAGTCAATATGAATAAATCCAGGCACTAAGTACGTCAATGTCTTCCCCGTTCCAGTCTGAGCTACTCCTATAAGATCTACTCCTTGTAGAATGATTGGCCATGCCTGTGACTGAAACAGAACGAGAAATATTAAAATAAAAAGTGCATTTCTCTCTGTCAAGAATTCCTTCCTCCTCTCCCAGCCCCAAACTTCTCAGCATTTTGAGTGCTAGGCAGTGGTGGAGGTGCTGGGGCGGGGGACACTTATAAGAGACAGCTGCTCCCTGGTATTATAACTTCTAACGACCAGAAATTGAGGGGAGAAAGTCGATGAAATGTTAGAATTAAAGAAAGCATACCTGAATTGGTGTGGGCCTTTGAAAACCTGCCTTTTGAAGGTTTCTCATAACTTCAGGATAACAGTGAAATGCATCCTCAAAATTACCAATAGGGTTGGGAAGAGGACGTTTCTCACCACCTTTCAAGTCATCACACATTATATTATAATTTTCCCTCCTTTAAGGAAAAACAGAACAAGGATTAGTGGCTTTGGTCACTTTACTCCCCAAACAAGAAATTTTTTCCAACATTAGTTCAGGTCATATCTAGAAATTCAACTGCAACTGATTAAAATTAGACTGCTGGTTAAGTTACAGTAAAACGTAATAAGAAACAGAAGCAAGCTCATTTTTTTTTACCAGAATAGTTCCAGAGAAGGAAAAAAATTACACTGTATGCATGAATGGGCCAATGAAAATTTCATGGAAAGGTTAAGAATAGAGCCTGAAAATTATATGCTTCATGAATCAAAGTCAGATTTGGCAAATGCCTGAGGGCCTATAATGTTTCACACACATTTCCTTAATTAATCCTCAACAATACTTTGAAGTGGGAATTATTCTCATTCGACAGGTGATCGTTAGTCACTTGTCCATGCTCAGGGCCCTACCCCAGTCCTAGAATAACTGCTCTGTCTGCTATACCATACTACCTGAGTTTTATAACAGATGTTAATAGAAAAAATGTTGCCATTATGACCTATAATTCCAGATAATAAGGACCAAAGAGTAAGAAATTTTTCTAATATTCAGATATCAGATCAATTTCTCATGATTTTCAACACTTGTAGAAATAATTCTCAAAAACGGCTAATACAGCAGGCACCAACCACGTGTCTCTTTTTAAAATTTCAAATTCAGTTCCTCAATTATATTAGCTACATTAAGTGTTTAATAGCCACATATGTATAGTAACTACTCTAGACACAAATATAGCCCATTTCCCTCTTCACCAAAAGTTTTATTGGACAGCAATGCTCTAATGTATATGATATAGGGGGCAACCAAGTTTTCTTTTGAATAGGAAGCTACAGTTTTAAATGCAATCATTTCAGATCTTTTCCTAATGGGTTAATTTACCAGCAAAACTCTACAAATACTCAATAAAAAGTAGTAAAACTATTCACCTCCAATTGTCTGCTTGGTCTTGTGACATTGAACTTGTTGTTTCTGACTCCACGTAAAAGTTTTTCTTAATTGGAGGTAAACCTGGGACAAAACCAAAATTTTAACTTGGGTGATTAATGAGCACTTACATTTCATTGACATTTATTCAAAGCAACAGAAATCAAACTAAAATATGTATCAGGTTCACCTTGCACAGATAATAGTTCTAGACAGCTGTCCCACACTTTGCCAGCCAAGCTTCTGCCAGCCTCTAAGAGATCTCCATTTTTGCCTTGTCTTTCAATTACATTTTTCACCCAAGAAAGAGATCTTTAATAATTAAATATGAAATAAAAGAAACCATGCTTCACAAGACACACAGCCATCACAAGTGACGAATCTTCTCTCATAGTAAGCTAACTTTCTTTTCTTTGAGGGTCCATCCCATTACTGTTTAGGAATAAAATATTTATCCTTATTCTATCCTCTACTTTGAAGCTACTTTGTTTTCTTTTCTTTTCTTTTTTTTTTTTTTTTTTTGAGGTACGTGGGCCTCTCACCGCTGTGGCCTCTCCCGTTGCGGAGCACAGGCTCCGGACGCGCAGGCTCAGCGGCCATGGCTCACGGGCCCAGCCGCTCCGCGGCATGTGGGATCCTCTCGGACCGGGGCACGAACCCGTGTCCCCTGCATTGGCAGGTGGACTCTCAAACACTGCGCCACCAGGGAAGCCCTGTTTTCTTTTTTAAATGCTTATCATACTTCCACCAAACTTAAATCCTTTTTCTGTTCCCCACCTCCACCCAAATCTCCCAACACGTGTTGTTGAGATGGCATGGGATAGGCTGACCACCAGAGTGGAATGAACCCTTGTTAGTATTTGTCACATGGTAGTGTTCACTGTTTAACTTTAAATAAATGATGTTGTCTCACTGCCTCATTCTGATCAAATTAATGCCTGAATTTACTCTGAAATTCAGTGAATAATGTAGAACATTATACTCCATATATAATTCCAAGTGAAAATTAAAAAAACCCATTTCTTCAAGAACTGTATGGTCTTATTAAATGTTTTTCCCTTTTTATTTTGCCCTTCTTGGCCAGGACACTCCAAGATCAATTTTTGCTCAGTCATAGCAAAATGTTAACTCCTGGTTGGCATGTTTACTCACTGTACCATCAATTTCCCTTTGCTGTACCATCAATTTCCCTTTTGGCCCAATTTTCTATTTTTATTAAATTTGTGCAGCGAGTTACCTCAAATAAGACAAGGTATAAGTAAGTTTTAACTTTCCATTTGTAACGTAAACTGCAACACAGACATAGAAATATCATGTCCTAGAGACTAATTGCAGCATTTCAAATTCTACTGTCATTTTGTATATAGATTTCATTACTAAGAGCAACACATTTTTTATAGAGGCTAACACCTCAATTACTAGGAACAACAATACCACATATAAGTGTTGGGATCCAGCACTAACCTGCCCACTTTTTTTTGCTCCATTTCAAAATATTTTCTCGGCACTTATCCCAATCAACCAATTTCTGATTTCCTGAAACATCTTTCCTTGCATCTTTTCCATCCGAAGGTTGGACAACAGCAACATCTGTTAAAAATATTCCAAATTAGTTTCCAAACAAATCCTACCAGTATAAAATCCAAAACAATTTTATTATTTTCTGTTTTAATAATCCAACAATAATAATGCTTGAAACATTAAATTTAGGAATTTAGTACAACAGTGCCATGACAGTTCTGGTCATGGTTTGCCAGTTATTTACTTCAGATTTCGGAAATGCAAAAAAAAATTACTGGAGCAGCTAAAAAGCATGAGAGACTAGTGTCTGATAATAAATAACACATCACTTATCATTACAATAATTCTGTGTGGCAGATGTTACCCCAGGTAAACAGAAGAAACAGTGTCTTAGAGGCTTTTTAGAGGTTCTTTCCCAAGAAACACTAAGAGGAAATGCTGCCATCTGAACCCAAGACTCTTCTCCTTGTTGCTTCTGGAAATAGTTCAATAATGGCTTTTTCTCTAGTCCAAGTAGATCTGAGATTTTTTAAAATATCCAAATAATTAGGCAGTTTTCAAAATCAGTCACATTCCAGGGAAGGGACCATAGACAGGAGGCCAGGACTAACCCTTGCTGTACCATCAATAGTGAAGTGTATTAAAAGGTTATTTTGTTTTTACTCAAAAGTAAAACTGCTAGGCTTAACAGCAGATATTAAGTGTCTTAGTTTGAGGAAAAGTATCCTGGATTTCATAGAAGAAAATTCTGTAACAGACTAGATTTAATGATGGCAAGCCAAAGCTTTGTTATCAGGAAAAGCAGTTATAATATGGCTTATCACACTGAATAAAACATTTAAAATTTTACAGGGCTTTAGTGGGCAAAAATTACTTACCAACTTTGGGTTCCGTTTTGTAGTCTTCTTGTTCTTGAACAAGATTATCTATCACTGTTTTCGCTTTGCTCTGCATTGCCTTGGTGCCAAAAATTCTTACTTCCGCTTCAGGGTACCCTTTTATTATCTAGATACAAGGGGGGAAATAGGTGAGATAAGTCCCTTCACCTTCCCCCCCCCCCCCCCCCCCCCCCCCCCCCCCCCGCCCCGGCCCTCAACCTCAAATAGAATAAAAGTGTAAAGGAAATACAGGACTGCTATCAATCAGCATCTAAGATATAATGAATGGACTACAGCTTAGGTGAGTTCTTAAAAAGAAGTATGAAGCGCTTTGGCAACTTACCTAAGTTACAACAGTATGTTAATAATTGAAGAGAAATTAGAGTTAGGAATGAACCACAGTTCATCCTCTTTAAGGATTTAAGAACCCGAATAATTTACCTGTATTTTGGTGTATGTTGAGCTCTGGATCTCTTTTATTTTTGACCCACCACGCCCTGTTTTTAAAAATAAAGGAATTAAAAAAAAATTGAAATCAATTATGGGGAACCTACTACCGACTTTGCTCAAAGCCTTCTCTTCCCAAATCATCTAAACAAAGGCTCCTAGGGTTCAGTAATCACTTTCAGTTTGGAAAAAGGGAAGCAGGCGCTTTCTATTCCAAATTGTGGTGGGTGGTAGGAGGTTCCTTTCCCAGAGGTAGATACTAAGGATTCACCACCAGACCAAGGAGAGACTAATTGGATCCAAAGTGTTGGCAAGGATGTGAAGAAACTGGAACCCTTACACACAACTCAACCAAAAAAGTCCAATTAAAAAATGGCCAAAGGTCTTGAATAGACCTTTCTTCGAAGACATATTTATGACCAACAGGTGTATATGAAAAGATGATGAAATCATCAGAGATATGCAAATCAAAACCACAATGAGATATCACCTGTTAGAATGGCTCTCATCAAAAAGACAAGGGATATGGGGCTTCCCTAGTGGTGCAGTGGTTAAGAATCCGCCTGCCAATGCAGAGAACACGGGTTCGAGCCCTGGTCCGGGCAGATCCCACATGCCGCAGGGCAACTAAGCCCGTGCACCACAACTACTGAGCCTGTGCTCTAGAGCCCGCACACGACAATGAGAAGCCCACGCACTGCAACAAAGAGTAGTACCCACTCACCACAATTAGAGAAAGCCCGGGCACAGCAACGAAGACCCAATACAGCCAAAAATAAAAACAAATAAATAAATAAATTTATTAAAAAAAAAAGACAAGGGATAACAAGTTGGCGAGGATGTGGAGAAAGGGAACCCTTATGCACTGTGAGCGGGAATGTAAATTGGTGCAGTCACTATGGAAACAGTATGCAGCGTCCTTTAAAAACTAAAAATAGAACTACCATGTGATCCAGCAATCCCACTTCTGGGAACTTACACACAGAATTGAAACTAGGATCTCAGAAAGATATCTGCATTCCCATATTCATCATTATTCACAATAGCTAAGAGGTGGAAATCACCTAAATATCTGTCAACAGATGACTGGATGAAAAAAATATGGCATATGCATACAGTGCAAGTTTTCAGCCTTAAAAGGAAATTTTGCCATTTGTGACAACACATATAAACCCTGAGGACATTACACTGAGATAAGCCAATCACAAAAAACTGCAGATTCCACTTCTATGAGGTGTCTGTTGGCTGCCAGGGATGGGGGAATGGGGAAATGAGTTGTTGAGAGGTAGATTCAGTCGTGCAATATGAAAACCTTCTGCAGATCTACCACACAACGTTGTTCTTAGGGTCAACAACCCTGTAAATGTATGTTGTTTACCACAATTTTAAAAGGGGGGCAAACCTTACTTCCAATCATTTCCAAAATGATTTTCAAAAACGAATTTGTAAGACTCACGCTATACTAAGAAAAAGAACACTTTTTTCGGCAGATTAATCATATTCAAGTAACAGAAACTAAGTGCAAGGTATGGTTAATGTTCCGAGCAGCCCTTTAATACCCTACGCCTTCTTATCTTGGGTTAATGGCTCTCCCCGGTGCTCAAACGGACTGACTCCTTTGTTGTTCATTTTGGGGTAAGCTGCCAAAGCTCTAACCTTTCATCCCAAAGATTTCTTAAGTCTAAGTGCTCGCTCTCCCAAAACATCGTCTCTGTAAACTATACAGAGATGCATTAAACACCATCACTCTAGCACCAAAGCGTATCAGAAAGGTCCGGTGGGGACCCGAGCCGCCCCAGTGGCCGCTGATTGGAGGCGAGGCGGGCGGGGCGGGGATGCCACAGGCCCCGCCCCGCCTCGCCCACCCCGGCCCGCCCGCGCAGGCTCTCCGCTCTCACCGATCACCGCGCCCACCCAGCTGTTCTTCAGGCTGAAGGAGAGCGGCGGCTCCTGGAAACCAGCGCCCACGGGCTGCTGGACGCCGGAGTGGCCCCTCCAGCCGCCACCTCCGCCGGCCTTCTGGCCTCCGCGACCGCCTTGGCTCGGCTCCTTCTCCGGGCTCCTTTCCGGAGCCCGAAGCAGCGCCGCGCCCCGCCGAGAAGCAACGACCCAGGAGGAGGCGTTGGCGCCGGCTTCCGGCCGAGACATGGCTCCACGAACAGGATCCGGCACCTCCGACGTCTTCCGGCAGGCCCTGCACACACGAGACGCCGTCGAAGGCTGGTCCACGAGGGCGGCCACGCAGCCGCTGCTCAAGGCGCCCCCGCGCGCCGACGCCCCGCCCAGGCCGCTGCCCATTGGCGGACGCGGCGCTGTGAGAGGGGCTGGTCCAATGGGCTGCCTCCATCCTGCACTCCCTGCATCCTGTCCGCGCGCTTGAGTGAGTCCTTGCGCGGGCCTTGTCCTTCTCTGCTGTGGGCTGTTCGGGCCTCTCTGTGCTTTCCGGCTACACACCCGCTCCTGGGACCCGCATCTCAGGGGCGCAGAAAGCGCAGTCACGTTTAACAGCCGGACCCGATACAGTCGTTAAAAATTTGAAACAAAAGGTTGACAGTAGCATTCACCATTGCTGTGTGAGCAACACTTTGATATAGTTAAGCATATGTTAGGTTTTAAAATGGTGGTTGTCATAACTGGAAAAGATACATGTACCCCAACATTCATAGCAGCACTATTGTAATAGCCAAGACATGGAAGCAACCTAGGTGTTCATCCACAGATGAATGGTTAAAGAAGATGTGATATGTATACACAATGGAATACTACTAAGACATAAAAAAAGAATGAAATAATGCCATTTGCAGCAACATGATTTGACCTAGAGATTATCATACTAAGTGAAGTAAGCCAGACAAAGATAAATATCATACGATATTGCTTATATGTGGAATCTAAAAAAAAAAAAAAGATACCAATGAACTTATTTCCAAAACAAAATAGGATCACAGACATAGAAAAGAAACTTATAGTTACGAAAGGGGAAGCAGAGGGAGGAATAAATTAGGAGTTTGGGACTAAACTATATACACTGCCATTTGTAAAATAGATAACAACAAACTACTGTATAGCACAGGGAACTATACTCAACACTTGACCCAAATGCTTGCTGTAATTCAAGGGCTAATGAAATAAATTGAATAAATGCCCGAAGCACTCCCATTTTTGCAGGCTGGCTCTGTGGCTGGACATATTATTCCAAGGATGCAATCCAGATGGGAGTGCCCCTACTTTGATTAGAATCTTCAAATTCTCTGAAGAGATCTCTGTTTGATCATGTGTTAATCAAACATAGTACACATCTATTATAATGCTGGGTACTGTGGTCTGTGCCCAGTATTGAAAAAAAAAAAAAGTACTACTCACATTCCATCCTGGGTTGAATGGGTTAACATGAAATTAACTATAACTCTTAATGCAATAAACCCTGGACTTAATCGGATTACAATGTTATTGCAGCACCCAGGAAACACATAAAAAGATTAATGTTTTATGTATTTAGTTTCCTTTCTCTAATCCTTACTCTGAAGTGGGTTGTATTAATGATCTTTAAAAAGAAGTTTTGATGGATTAGACTTGCTAATATTTTGTTGAGGGCATTTGCATCTGTGTTCATGAGAAATAGCTCTGTGCCTTTCTGGCAATGTCTTTGTCTTGTTTTGGTATTAGGGCCATGCTGGCCTCACAGAATGAGTTAGGAAGTTTTCCCTCTTCTTCTATTTTCTGGAAGATTTTGTACAAAGTTAGTATAATTTCTTTCTTAACTGTGTGTTAGAAGTCATCAGTGAACACATCTGGACCTGGTGCTTTCTGTTTCACAAGCTATTAATTATTGATTTAATTTATTTAATAAATGTAGGCCTATTCAATTTGTCTTTTTCTTCTTTTTTTTTGAATTTTTGAACTTTATTTTATTTATTTTTTATACAGCAGGTTCTCATTAGTCATCCATTTTATCCATATTAGTGTATACACGTCAATCCCAATCTCCCAGTTTATCCCACCACCACCCCCACCCCGCCACTTACCCCTCTTGGTGTCCATACGTTTGTTCTCTACATCTGTGTCTCTATTTCTGCCCTCCAAACCGGTTCATCTGTACCATTTTTCTAGGTTCCTCATATATACATTAATACACAATATTTGTTTTTCTCTTTCTGACTTACTTCACTCTGTATGACAGTCTCTAGATCCATCCACGTCTCTACAGATGACCCAATTTCATTCCTTTTTATGGCTGAGTAATATTCCATTGTATATATGTACCACAACTTCTTTATCCATTCATCTGTCTATGGGCATTTAGGTTGTTTCCATGACCTGGCTACTGTAAATAGTGCTGCAATGAACATTAGGGTGCATGTGTTTTTTGAATTATGGTTTTATCTGGGTATATACCCAGTAGTGGGATTGCTGGGTCATATGGTAGTTCTATTTTTAGTTTTTTAAGAAACCTCCATACTGTTCTCCATAGTGACTGTATCAATTTACATTCCCACCAACAGTGCAAGAGGATTCCCTTTTCTCTACACACTCTCCAACATTTGTTGTTTGTAGATTTTCTGATGATGCCCATTCTAACTGGTGTGAGGTGATACCTCATTGTAGTTTTGATTTGCATTTCTCTAATAATTAGTGATTTTGAGCAGCTTTTCATGTGCTTCTTGGCCATCTGTATGTCTTCTTTGGAGAAACGTCTATTTAGGTCTTTGCACATTTTTTGATTGGGTTGTTTTTTTTTTAATATTGAGCTGCATGAGCTGTTTATATATTTTGGAGATTAATCATTTGTCTGTTGATTCGTTTGCAAGTATTTTCTCCCATTCTGAGGGTTGTCTTTTCATCTTGTTTAGAGTTTCCTTTGCTTTGCAAAAGCTTTTAAGTTTCATTACGTCCCATTGTTTATTTATTTTATTATTATTTTTTAATAAAGTTATTTTATTTTTGGCTGCGTTGGGTCTTCGTTGCTGCATGTGGGCTTTTCTCTGGTTGCAGTGAGCGGGGGCTACTCTTCGTTGTGGTGTGCAGGCTTCTCATTGTGGTGGCTTCTCTTGTTGGGAGCACTAGCTCTAGGCATGCAGGCTTCAGTAGTTGTGGCACACAGGCTCAGTAGTTGTGGTGCGCAGGCTTAGTTGTTCTGCAGCATGTGGAATCTTCCCGGACCAGGGCTCAAACCCATGTCTCCTGCATTGGGAGGCAGATTCTTAACCACTGCGCCACCAGGGAAGCCCTTATTTTTGTTTTTATTTCCATTACTCTAGGAGGTGAGTCAAATAAGATCTTGCTGTGATTTATGTCAAAGAGTGTTCTTCCTATGTTTTCCTCTAAGAGTTTTATAGTGTCCAGACTTGCATTTAGGTCTCTAATCCATTTTGAGTGTATTTTTGTGTATGGTGTTAGGGAGGGTTCTAATTTCATTCTTTTACATGTAGCTGTCCAGTTTCCCCAGCAGCACTTATTGAAGAAGTTGTCTTTTCTCCATTGTATATCCTTGCCTCCTTTGTCATAGATTAGTTGACCATAGGTGTGTGGGTTTATCTCTGGGCGTTCTATCCTGTTCCATTGATCTATATTTCTGTTTTTGTGCCAGTACCATACTGTCTTGATTGCTGTAGCTTTGTAGTATAGTCTGAACTCAGGAAGTCTGATTCCTCCAGCTCCATTGTTTTCCCTCAAGATTGCTCTGGTTATTTGGGGTCTTTTGTGTCTCCATAAACATTTTAAGATTTTTTTGTTCTAGTTCTATAAAAAATGCCACTGGTAATTTGATAGGGATTGCATTGAATCTGTAGATTGCTTTGGGTAGTAGAGTCATTTTCACAATACTGATTCTTCCAATCCAAGAACATGGTATATCTCTCCATCTGTTTGTGTCATCTTTGATTTCTTTCAACAGTGTCTTATAGTTTTCTGCATACAGGTCTTTTGTCTCCCTAGGTAGTTTTATTCCTAGGTATTTTATTCTTTTTGTTGCCATCATGAATGGGATTGTTTCCTTAATTTCTCTTTCTGGTCTTTCGTTGTTAGTGTATAGGAATGCAAGAGATTTCTGTGCATTAATTTTGCATCCTGCAACTTTGCCAAATTCATTGTTTAGCTCTAGTAGTTTTCTGGTAGCATCTTTGGGATTCTCTATTTATAGTATCATGTTATCTGCAAACAGTGACAGTTTTACTTCTTCTTTTCCAATTTGTATTCCTTTTACCTCTTTCCTCTCTGATTGCCGTGGCTAGGACTTCCAAAACTATGTTGAATAATAGTGGCGAGAGTGGACATCCTTGTCTTGTTCCTGATCTTAGAGGAAATGCTTACAGTTTTTCACCATTGAGAATGATGTTTGCTGTGGGTTTGTCGTATATGGCCTTTATTATGTTGAGGTAAGTTCCCTTTATGCCCACTTTCTGGAGAGTTTTGTCATAAATGGGTGTTGAATTTTGTCAAAAGCTTTTTCTGCATCTATTGAGATGATCATATGGTTTTTATTCTTCAGTTTGTTAATATGGTGTATCACATTGATTGATTTGCATATATTGAAGAATCCTTGCATCCCTGGGATAAATCCCACTTTATCATGGTGTATGATCCTTTTAATGTGTTGCTGGATTCTGTTTGCTAGTATTTTGGTGAGGATTTTTGCATCTATATTCATGAGTGATATTGGTCTGTAATTTTCTTTTTTTGTAGTATCTTTGTCTGGTTTTAGTATCAGGGTGATTGTGGCCTCATAGCATGAGTTTGGGAGTGTTCCTTCCTCTGCAGTTTTTTGGAAGAGTTTGAGAAGGATGGGTGTTAGCTCTTCTCTAAATGTTTGTTAGAATTCACCTGTGAAGCCATCTGGTCCTAGACTTTAGTTTGTTGGAAGATTTTTAATCACAGTTTCAATTTCATTACTTGTGATTGGTCTGTTCATATTTTCTGTTTCTTCCTGGCTCAGTCTTGGAAGGTTATACCTTTCTAAGAATTTGTCCATTTCTTCCAGGTTGTCCATTTTATTGGCATAGAGTTGCTTGTAGCAGTCTCTTAGGATGCTTTGTATTTCTGTGGTGTCCATTGTAACTTCTCCTCATTTCTCCTCTTTCATTTCTAATTTTATTGATTTGAGTCCTCTCCCTCTTTTTCTTGATGAGTCTGGCTAAAAGTTTAACAATTTTGTTTATCTTCTGAAAGAACCAGCTTTTACTTTTATTGATCTTAGCTATTTTTTTGTTTCTATTTCATTTATTTCTGCTCTGATCTTTATGATTTCTTTCCTTCTACTAACTTTGGGTTTTGTTTGTTCTTCATTCTCTAGTTCCTTTAGGTGTAAGGTTAGATTGTTTATTTGAGATTTTTCTTGTTTCTTGAGGTAGGTTTGTATTGCT